ATTTCAAGGCATAAGACTTGACGAAGTAGCACTTCCTACTGTCGAACGACACCATTCCGCCCAATAACAAGCTGATTAAGATAAATCGCTTTCTATTTAACAGGATAAGATTGATGTAAATTAGGTAATTAATGGAAATTCGCCGCTAATTGAATGCACTCCGATTAGGAAAGATTGCGCGTAGCTTTCGACTTTTAGCGACGTTTATTGGAATTGATGAATTGGAAGGATTTTCGCTACGGACTCTTCCTGGTATTTCTCGGGGATGCTAGACATAGATTAGGTAATAAAATACAGAAACACGAATAGTTTCGAATAGTGAATCACGATGAATTTCGAAGGCTGTGAAATTTAAGGCTTGGGATCGTACAGTAAAAAGTACGACCCTTGCCTTTTTAAGAGTACTGTATGTTGGTGAACCGATTGTGAAACTTCATCTAGAACGGTGAAGAATATCTTATTAATATAGGGAGAACCCTAAAAATAAATCTGGAACTCTACCCTAACGAATGAGTCTTCATTTTGGAATGTATCATAGTGTGGAATATACCGAAATGACAGGAAAAAAATTCAGTGGGACCCGTCGATTTTCATTTCACGGCTGACAAATAATCAGACTAGATTTCTCAGAAAACCATTGAAATAAACACCATCACATCACGTTTGTAGAATCACTGACATATCATAAAGTTCTTGCTAACTCACATACTATTCTCTAAACTCGCACCTGAATAACCTTCTATCATAATAGATTATACGTTTTCTCTCCTCGCTACTGATGACAAAATGAAAAGCGGTAAACCAAGGTCTTCTCTGTTATTAAAGTAGACTCTATACTTCGGCTTACTCTTACGTAGCTACAGGTGTAATGTGGTCTTGGCAGCTTCGATGTGAGCCATCTGCTGAACAGGTTTCTCTTCTGATAGATAGACTTGTGGTAACTTCATTCATTATCGGAACCGAAGTCTACTGCTATAAGAAGATTCCTGCCTTAAGGTTTCAGATAATGAAAGGAACAGGATCCAAACTATTGGTGATTTCAAGGCATAAGCCAGAAACATTTCCAGAGACACTCTATATTGAAAAATGCCTGCAGAAGGTGCAGGATGTCTTCATCTATGAATGAAACATTGGTTCAATCCTATATTCATTTCATTCAGCATGTATGCTTCTTGAATGTCTGGTGACGATCCTCCTCTACTAGAGGTTATCCGTATAAAACAAATGATCGTGGGTACCACAATCTATATCATAGTTTGATCTTGTAAAATGGAAGGCACTATATTTTTAATTTGTAAAATCAATTTGGGTATGGTAGTCATCAAAGATGAACAACCGCGTGTTTTCATTCCTATAGGCAGTCATTCCTATAGACAGTCGGCTACATTGTATATCCTATGGTTTCTCTTTGAAAAAAAAGGAATTCTGAAAAATTCCATGTTTCAACTTCACAACCCCGTAAATTCAGCCGTTTACTTTCAGATCAGAATTCTCGCATTTCAATCCGCGATCTGAACTTCTGTACGGGACGCTAAACTGATATATACGTCGACTGTCAGTGACGTCTGATAATATATCTATATGTGAATGACTCAGTGCTCAGAAAAGAGCGTTTCATACGGCCATGTATAGGGAAAGAGGGTCTTTTGAAGTCTGCATGAATTTCTTAGGGGTTTCCTTATCGATTGTTCGATCCTAGTGAAAGCGCTCGAGGAAATTTCAGGAGTGGTAGTACGTTTATGAAGATTTTCAGGAATGGCACGCTCATTTTGACTTTTGAAAGGATTTTGAAACACTTTTATGAAATGAAATCTGAGTTTGTGGTGAGAGATTTGGTCCTGGTCGAATATTTTTTTATGAAATCTATAGTATGATGGTGTTATATGAATAACAAGTTTGGAGTCTTGTAGTAGAAATCCCTCATAGCTTTCCCATTAATAATAGTTGAGGTTTCTTGTCGATCAGTGTTATTCCATAGATGAGAATTTTTTCATTTCAGGGTTTTTGTTGAATATTTTAATCGACCTTAACGTAAAAACTGAATCGAATAGCAAGAATACCGCAAATTTTTCAAGTAATGCCCATTCCTCGAAAGTAGACTTATATCAAAACTAGTTCTTGTTTAAAATTATATTATCTGTGGAGGATATACGTAATGAGAGTAATATCATTGAATTCAATAATGAGAATTTATTGGAGCCTCTGGAGACACCCTACATTTTGTTTTATAAGAGAGAGGACATTGTTAGATCAAGATCTTCAGATGATGTGGTGCTGCAGGTTTTTCCGGGTTTTCCTGNACATTCAGGTATTAAAAAGTACACAAGAGACTACTGTGAACCGAAAGTTATATGCTTTAGAAAATAAGTTGTGTCTTACGGCTTTGGGATCTTGGACTATAAATGGGATCTAGAATTCGGTTTTTCCGAAGATTTTGGCGAAAGAAGTGTATCGTTAGGAGACTGCGAAAGAAACTGGCTGAGTATAAAGAAACCTATCAAAATACATTTTCGTACCGATTTTATTTGAGAAATAACCTTGCGGAAACTTCTAGTTGGTGATTTTTCCATTCAGTTAGTGGAAGAGGGCAGGATTTTACCTGTGGGATTTTTCAAAGATAGCGACACTTGGATATCCATAATTTCAAAAACATAGGTTGATGTTCAGCGAAATGGTATCATCAGGAATAACTTTTCGCTGTCGTTTCCACTTCATGAAGTCATCCATAGCGGAAGTCATCTTGATTTTATTCAGGTTAGAGCCTGGCTCCCTTACCCTTTGAACTGATGTTTGCCAGAAGGACAAACGGGTCATGACTGAAGTATGAAGTCATCCATCATTGATTTTTTAAGATTTATGGAAGGTGAACCGTCCCAGATTCCCCCACAAAATATAACTTTTGTCCAATAACTTATGAGGATTCAACAAAGACAATTATTTTAAATTATAAGCTACAAAGCAGGTGAATTGAGAATATAAAAAGGTATTTTTGAAAAATCGGATACGATATCCTTTTTTCTCATTTTATATAAAATTTGATCTTGGTCCGCTTAAGACTTGTAATAATCAGTGAATTTGAAAGCCTTTTTCTTGGGACGCCAATGCCGGCAGAGAGGGTGTGTAACAAATTCGTTAGTCGTAGTACTACTTGTTAGGGGTGTAAATAATAAACAAGTAGCTAAGTGACAATATTTGGCGTAGAGCGAGGCTGTTAATTGAAATTTATTGTCTCGGTTCTGATTGTTCTGCGACCGAGCCTTTTGATCAAACTACATGACGTTTTCTAACCGCTTCGTTCTCTCTCTCTCTCTCTCCCTCTCTCTCTCCCGTTTATGATTTTCAATTTTCGAAGAAGCCTTTCTATTTTCGGCTGTTTCTGCGTTGAAGGACCACTTCGCGTGAACGAGCTTTCGAAGAAGTTATTGTTGCTTTGTTGGCATTATTCGGAAACAAATTTGTTTCCTTCGACGAAGTTGCTGCGTAGATGAGACGAATTGAATCGAAATTTACTTTATAGTGTTATGATTAATTGTAAATGTTAGTGATAGACAGGACTCCAGAATCCTTCTACTAATTCATACGGGGTGATATTTTAATATTTTTTCCAACTAATGGCATGATAAAAGTTTGGCGAAACACATCATCTTACATGTCAAAAAAGACAACTATATTTGGTGCCTTCTATCCCACACTTTTTGTCCGCAGGTTACCTACCCCTAAAATAATAAATCCATTTATTTAGAATTTCATTAGTTCGGACTTCCATTGAAAAGCTCAAGTCAGAGTCTTATAACGAAGCATTCTTGATTCAACACCAGACATCATTGTTTCGACCTGAGATAGTACTCATCAGTGGTGTTAGGTTCAACCATGAATGCATTATTGAACCTCACTATTTTTAAAGAACAACCCATAGTATAAGAACAAATGGAGAAAAAAATGACTTGTATTCAGTTTCTCCCTGCAATAATCAATGCAAGGTACCTAGTTGGAATCCCAGAATCATCTCGTTCGACGGTCATGTCGAATTTTGGTTTTGCAACAATCAACTTCGAAAATCTTGCGTCGATTCCATACTTGGAGTATTTTTAAGGTAAGATGTCCATGTTCACTTATACTCGGCTTCGTTTCATTAGAATAGTTGAATCCAACAATGCATTGATAGTACGGCCAAGTACCGAAGATGAGGTCAATATGGCAGATCAAAACAGAACTGGTTGGTTTTGGAGTTCGAGTACTTCGATTTTGAGCTTCATGTCAATGTCAATGCGTGAATTTACGACTATCTTCGAAAACTGCTTTTTTATGGACCCCATAAATGTCTTATTCGGGAGATCAGATGTTCATGTTCACTTATGCTCCCTGTATAATAGTTTTTTATATTGAAAATACTATATCTGTCAGAAGAGTTGTCAAGTTTTTGCCAATGTACTAACGTCAATAAAAAGTAAAAAAGTTTTTGCCGATAAATCGTATTGTTGTTGGGGTTTGCAGTAATCGCTGTACGAACAGTAGATACTCATTTAACAATTTCCATTGAACTGAGAGAACTGGAGTTGAAAGGGTAGTTTTTTCTTCTGGCGACCGTGACAGGAGTTGTCAATTTTTTCGTAACACTAACCTAACCCATGGCGCAAGTTTCATCAATCAAGATAGCTTCATTAGGAGGTGAACTATATAAATTCCTTTGATCTAAATTCAGATATTTTAGGGAATATTTTATAGAAACATAGGGTGTAAAGGAGCTTTGATACCGTCCTCCAAGAGATTCTCTGAAGACACAAGGAATATTCCAGGGCCAGACACGTACTGGGTGAGTGTTTACTAATTTTACATCGAATTTCTCACGGTTCTGTCGAAACCAAGAGATTTTCAACATTGAAAATGTATCTTCTAAGCTTCATTGAATCTAAATAAGGTAATCGCATTGAGAAGCATTGTTCTACAAACTTCTGTCAACTTCTTGTTTGATTGTGATTCATTCAAACACGAGCTTTTTCCAAATATTGGAATGGCTAAAATTAGCGCAATTTTTCCAGTGGGCATTTGTCAAGTTACACAGTCTGCGGGACTGCTGAGATGGTTCAAATGCATTGAAATATCTATTATCCTAATAATAATATCGTTTATTATGCATAAAAATACATTTATACAAAAATTATACTGTGAATATAAGAAAATAATTATATACATACTTATTTACTATCATAACAAAGATAGAGAAGAGAAAACAATTATATATCATATTGTTAGTAGCTAATAACTCTTATTATTCATAACATTATTTTGGTCAATTTAACAATTTCAATGCACTACTATACATTGCATTTTAAATTTTTTAAATTAGCACTAAGCAGTAAACATGTGTGATTTTATTCCTTTCTTGAATTGATGAATAATATGATTGAACATGAGTAAAATTTCATTCAGATAAGAAGGGGCTATACAGCGTGACTCACGGTCGATGGTAGGTTAGACGTTTCTGGAAAACGCAAAGCATGATTTTTCTAAAAATTCTACTTCTCACATTTCCTTACCTGTTCTATCCATCTAAAATATTTTCAGTATTGCGGCGTTGCCACATCCATCAAAAAGTCCTAGAACTTTATTTTTTAAATGGAACACCCCGTATATTAATACATTTTTGGAATCGCTCTAGTATTTTAATACTTTTTTGTTAATGATGTCCTATACCTATCTCTATCTGTTTTCGATATAAAATATATACTCGATATATGAATTGTGCTAAAAATGGTCCAAAACATAGCCTTAATTGAAATTAAGTGCATCAGTACTTTCAATTCATTGAAAGTTAATATTTTGATGATAGTTTGGACAAACTCGAAATATTCAAATAACACCAAGAAATCGACTCCATATCATACAGGGCATTGAAGCATTTTTCACCATCTTTCAATTTATCGAGTAATATACAGGGGGTTTTGTTTGAAAAAATGAACTTTCACCTACTTTTATGCACAATGGAAATAATAGTAATTTTAGCACGCCCTGTATGATATGGAGTCGATTTCTTGGTGTTGTTTGAATATTTCAAGTTTGTCCAAACTATCATCAAAATATCAACTTTTCATGAGTTGAGAGTACTGATGTAAGTACTTAATTTCAATTAAGGCTATGTTTTGGACCATATTTAGCACAATTTATATATCGAATATATTTTATATCGAAAACAGATAGAGATAGGTATAGAACATTATCAACAAAAAAGTATTAAAATACTAGAGCGATTCCCAAAATGTATTAATATACGGGGTGTTCCATTCAAAAAAATATAATTGCTTGGCAATTTGATAGAAGTGGCAACGCCGCAATGCTAAAAATATTTTAGATCGATAGAACAGGTAAGGAAATGTGAGAGGTGGAATTTTCAGAAAAATCATGCTTTGCGTTTTCCAGAAACGTCTAACCTACCATCGACCGTGAGTCACGCTGTATAAGAAAAACATCCTTCAAATTTGGAAGTACGGTGTCTAGGTATGTTGAATGAGTTAATTCTTAAATTGACTAGATATATGTCAGAATGCCGGCTTAATAAACTATATAAATAACTAGGTGTTTTAGTTTGAAGCAACTTAAACAAAAACATTTTTATCAAATAAAATCAGACTAGATTTATCAGAAAACCATTGAAATAAACACCATCACATCACGTTTATAGAATCACTGACATATTTCTTGCTAACTCACATACTATTCTCTAAACTCGCACCTGAATAACCTTCTATCGTAATAGATTATACGTTTTCTCTCCTCGCTACTGATGACAAAATGAAAAGCGGTAAACCAAGGTCTTCTGTGTTATTAAAGTAGACCCTATACTTCGGCTTACTCTTACGTAGCTACAGGTGTAATGTGGTCTTGGCAGCTTCAATGTGAGCCATCTGCTGAACAGGTTTCTCTTCTGTGGTAGACTTGTGGTAACTTCATTCATTATTATCGGAAACGAAGTCTACTGCTATAAGAAGATTCCTGCCTTAAGGTTTTAGATAATGCAAGGAACAGGATCCAAACTATTGGTGATTTCAAGGCATAAGCCAGAAACATTTCGCTATGGAGACCCTCTATATTTAAAAATGCCGGAAAAGTTCTTCATATCGGTGGACCTCCTTCCGAGTCTACCTCACTTCTCTAAATGAGTAAGATTAGATGGCATACAATTTCCAGCAGTAACTTTGTTTTTCCCTAATAATCTCTATAACAAGATATGTCTGAGTTAGTACTGATACTTAGAGTATCGGAAACTGGTGGAGAATCTCCTTCATTCAGTAGGTGCAGGATGTCTTCATCTATGAATGAAACATTGGTTCAATCCTATATTCATTTCATTCAGCATGTATGCTTCTTAAATGTCTGGTGACGATCCTTTTCTACTAGAGGTATAACGTTTGAGGTTATCCGTATAAAACAAATGATCGTGGGTACCACAATCTATATCATAGTTTGATCTTGTAAAATGGAAGGCACTATATTTTTAATTTGTAAAATCAATTTGGGTATGGTAGTCATCAAAGATGAACAACCGCGTGTTTTCATTCCTATAGGCAGTCATTCCTATAGACAGTCGGCTACATTGTATATCCTATGGTTTCTCTTTGAAAAAAAAGGAATTCTGAAAAATTCCATGTTTCAACTTCACAACCCCGTAAATTCAGCCGTTTACTTTCAGATCAGAATTCTCGCATTTCAATCCGCGATCTGAACTTCTGTACGGGACGCTAAACTGATATATACGTCGACTGTCAGTGACGTCTGATAATATATCTATATGTGAATGACTCAGTGCTCAGAAAAGAGCGTTTCATACGGCCATGTATAGGGAAAGAGGGTCTTTTGAAGTCTGCATGAATTTCTTAGGGGTTTCCTTATCGATTGTTCGATCCTAGTGAAAGCGCTCGAGGAAATTTCAGGAGTGGTAGTACGTTTATGAAGATTTTCAGGAATGGCACGCTCATTTTGACTTTTGAAAGGATTTTGAAACACTTTTATGAAATGAAATCTGAGTTTGTGGTGAGAGATTTGGTCCTGGTCGAATATTTTTTTATGAAATCTATAGTATGATGGTGTTATATGAATAACAAGTTTGGAGTCTTGTAGTAGAAATCCCTCATAGCTTTCCCATTAAAAATAGTTGAGGATTCTTGTCGATCAGTGTTATTTCATAGATGAGAATTTTTTCATTTCAGGGTTTTTGTTGAATATTTTAATCGACCTTAACGTAAAAACTGAATCGAATAGTAAGAATACCTCAAATTTTTCAAGTAATGCCCATTCCTCGAAAGTAGACTTATATCAAAACTAGTTCTTGTTTAAAATTATATTATCTGTGAAGGATATACGTAATGAGAGTAATATCATTGAATTCAATAATGAGAATTTATTGGAGCCTCTGGAGACACCCTACATTTTGTTTTATAAGAGAGAGGACATTGTTAGATCAAGATCTTCAGATGATGTGGTGCTGCAGGTTTTTCCGAGTTTTCCTGCAGCTGAAAAAGCAAATGCGCCACTGGAATCAATGAAGTCGCCCCGGAGCGCCAATTAATTTTTATTGTTGTTTTTATTTTATTTTTATCGTTGTTTTAATAAAAGAAACAACTTGATTAGGGCATTCAAAAATGTTTCCTACCTTTGTTATTTTATTCAATTTTGAATAATTTGAAAATTGAATGATTGAAAAAGGAATAGAAAATGCAGTCGCTGTAATTTGAACATAAGATCATTGGGTCACATACTTTACTGAACTTCTTACAAATTAGTGAGACTAAAATTGAAATATCGATTCGTCACCTTGCTCTAAATTACATTTTTCGTTAGAAATAATTCGAGTATTTTTTAAACAAAACTGTTGGGTCAGTAATAGGGTATAACATTTGAGAACAATTTTGGAGTGAGGTAAATTTTTAAGGCTAACTTGCGAATGGAAATAATTCAAATAGAAGTGTGAAGTAGTGAATTTTCACTGTGATTGGTTCAAAAGTGTTGAGTAATAATTCATTGCCTACTCGGAGGATGGAAATAAAGGTTCGTTTTTCAACAAGACACGGGCATATAATTGAAAACCAACATTATTTTTCTGTTTTTTAGGATCTAGAGACTCCGCTGAATATTAAATCATAAACCAATTGCCATTTACCTAGCCAACATGGTTTTATGACCAAAGACCAAAAAATTTACTGAAACTCAATTTCATGTAATTATTTTCCAGCAGCTCGACTGCATTAGCCTTTCTTGATTCTGTATTATTTCTGAAAATATGTGGATTCGTTACCCTATGGCATTCCGGTAAAGGTTCCTAAATTTCTGCTAACGCAGTTGTCGGTCTCAAAAATGTGTCAATTCACCAATATTGATACAAAAACTTGACGAACAAACTTGGGTATCACAACAATAGGTGGTTTCACTTAAGTCTCGCTTGCGTTCACGCAATAATTTTAATGAAATACTCGTCTTAGTTTTCACAATTTGTCTTCGGATGATGATATTGACCGTGATATCCGGTTGGAACCTCGGGTTCGGCGCATCCTTAGGGTAAATGACGACGACATGATCCGTCCAGCTTCGGAGGAAGAACTGAGGGGGTATATTAGGGCCTCCAAACCCAAGAAGGCTCCCGAGTAGATTCAATCAACAATAGGTTGTTGAAGCAGCTCCCCAGATATCTGTTGGACATAATTAACAGCTCAATCGCCCTCAGATACTTCCCTCAAAGATGGAAGCATGCCGTAGTTGTCATGATTCCGAAACAGGGTCAGAACCCGCTGTTTTCCCAGAATCATCGTCCAATTAGTCAGC